CGAGACTCACTTCATGGGAGGTGGGGTCAGTTGTCATAATGGGGGTCTTGTCGGATAAGAAATGAAAGACAAAGGAATTAATAATTTTTAGTTGATCTATGATAATTAAATTTATAAATTATTTTTTTTAAAAAATAAAAACAACACCCCAGAAGGGTAGCGGTTAAGACGAAACCAAACCTTTGTATAAAAAGGTCCGAAATGGTTGAATAGTCATTGGGCTACAACTCAAGAAATCCAAGAAACAATACAAAAAAGTGAAAAACAATCAAGAAAAAAAAAATAATAGAGCAAATGACACAAAAATTTCAGAGCCTGGATTGAGAAGAGTTCAGGCAAAAAGTCAACACCACGGTGAGCATAAGCACAAAAAATGAGGGCGACTATCCAAATCTGAATGATGGGTAACCCATCTGGTCCATCCGTATAAGGGTATAGAGGCAGAGAGGAACATCGTCACGATGAAGAATACGCCTATGGGGGTGGAGTCCTGATGCAAGCAAGGAAGTCAACAGGTCGATTCCACTCACGGAAGATGTGTGAGATAGGATAGCGAATCGACCGAAGAGTGACTCTAATACGCATGAGTAGATGCTGAATTTGCAACGCACCATGATGGCCAGAGGTCAAGAGTGTGATGACAACGACAATATCCAACTCAATCCAAACGTGAGAGGAGATCGAGACAGCAATATGAAAACCGATCTAAAGTGCTTGAACCTCTGCGCGTCATAGCTCGAAGAGACCCGAAGAGGGGAATGACACTTCTTAATCGTAAATCGGATATCTTGATTATCAAAAAAACTTGAATTGAATTTTTTTCTATACACACGTGCTCCTACTATCTTCGTGGATCGATTATAGAGGTATCAATTTTCAAAATTCGACAAACCATATCTCATTTTGTTCAATTTTAAAGATTAATTATCATTAATTGAGTTAAAACTCCTATTGTGGCAAGAGTTTTTAATCGAGGTGACAAATTGTCAATTTCGATTACATTGGGAGACAAATTGTCCAAAAAAAAAGTTTATACGGCGAACTCTGAAAAACGACATACTTTGAAAGGTTAAAAAAATTCCATAAAAGAATATGAAAAATATGGAATGTTAAGATGAGAAGATCTATCATTTCTATTTAAACTAAGTCCATAAAACCTATTTCAAGAAATACAAATATAATAAACAAATATTATTTTTGATTAATGCCAAAATCAATTTTCTTACACTTATGCTAAAAAAGAAAAAGATAACATAAGTATTAGACGAGTATCAATCAAACGATTTTGCTATGAAGTTAATAGTTACTCCATAGTGAAGTCAACCTTCTATATACAACAAATAAAACTATATCATATTAATAAAATTATTAGTGTTATTTAAGTAATCAAAAAATATGACATGTTTTCCTTATTATATATAAAAAGTTAACTACACTTGAACCAACGGTTGACTTCACAACATAATTGATCATCAAAATCCAAAAAAATTGTTCCATCAATGAAGCTGTACATTAGTTTTCACTGCGCACAAAAATGGTCAAAACAATTATAGCACACCTGATTTCTAACCTGTTTCATTAACCTACACGTTCTAGAATTACAGATAGCCGCCGCAGAAAAATCAGACGTAGATTGGAAAATTGCAGATGTGAGAGCAAGAGAAGCACGACAATATTCTTTCTTCCCCTAAACAACCTCTTTTGTTGTTGAGTTAACTACAGAACACAAAGATACTCTTATCTGTTGAGCTCCCATGGCTTCCTCTTCTCTCTCTCCAAGCTATTTGCTCTTCGTCGACAAGGTATCTCTTTCTGTTCTGCACCCATCTATGCGTGCTGCCCCTTTGATTCTGTTTTCTTCACCAATAATCGTTTTCAATTTTATTTTTCCAGAAAGATGTTGGCTTTTCAGCCGTTCATTCACAGGCGGCTCTGCTCCCCTTTCCGCCTCTGGGTTCTAAGAAACGCCCCTCCAAGAAAATAGTGTCTGTGATGGCACCCCAGCAATCGGAACGTAGGCCGTCAACAACCGGCGCTGTAATTTACGAATCTTTTTATCTAATGTTCTGGTTTTGCTATGTGAATTAGCTCTTGTTCAGTAAATTAGTGAGAATTTGTGCGTGTGTTTTGTTTTCATCAGGTGAAGACTGGAATGACCATGACTGAAAAGATACTCGCAAGGGCTTCCGAGAAAACCCAGTTGAGCCCTGGTGAGAATGTGTGGGTCAATGTGGATGTTTTGATGACTCATGATGTCTGTGGCCCAGGTGCCATTGGGATTTTCAAGAGAGAGTTTGGAGAAGATGCAAAGGTACTTTCCGATCGAGCGGATTTTGCATATGGTTTACGAAATTTATGGGGTTCATAGTCGATTTGTGATGTTGTTGGTAGATAGCTCTCTTGTTACCTCTTTGTCTCTCGTTTACAAAAGGAGCTGTTAAGGACAAGTTTGGAGATCTTCAGTCTTTCAGCTATACTGTAACCTGAGTTTAAAATGTTCGACTTTATTTGCTTGAATAAAAAGTTACGACAATATCCAATTATTATTTTTGTACTGTAAGATCCTTTGTTGTTGGAAAATGCCAAAAGTATTAAGCCTGCATAGCTGTACTGATGGTTCTGTAGTTGACATGTTTTCGGTTGATGTTATTTTAATTAAATCGGCACTCCCGCAGGGGTAAGCTTCGTGGCCTTATACAATGGCAAGAAAAGATTAAATGTTTTCAACTGTTTAATATGTATTAATTGCACCCTGTAGCCTTCTCTTTTGGTCCTGTCCATGTGAACAATTCTATTTTGAATCCTAGAGATACTCTACTCGTCCCTTTGAAGCACGAAGATGGCTTGCAATCTTTTCTACACTTGCAAATATAATTAACCTGTGTTAGAGATAGAAGTTCACCAATAAACCTATATCTGAAAATTTATATTTAATTATGAATGGGATTGAGGTAGTTAATCCTTCTGTTTATTTTGAAATCAGGTTGATTTATGAATTATTCAGATTTGTTGTTTTTGCTGTCAATTTAATTACAGATTTTATGGTTTCAAAAATGTTGGAGATTAGATTTCATGCTAGTAAGTCTTGATGTTACTAACATGACTGAACATAAGGATTCAATGATGCTTGGGTGCTACATTTGTAGAGTAATTTTACTTGTAAAATAAGCTCATTCACCTGAGATTCTAATATAACCTCTTAAAGTCTTACCGAGTTCGTGAAGCCCAATCTACTGATTCGATGATTTTTTCATGTGTCAAAGAAAATCTCAGTGAAAATCCAATGCTAAGTTGTAAATGTAGATTAATGTTTTCTCCAATATGTATTTGCGTAGCATTTTTATATATGTTGTTGGATTCTGCACCTTGTTGATTTTATCAATGAAATACTACTTTCCCTTTCCTAGTGCAGGGATAATTTAATCTGTGAGTGTGTCTTAAAACATATCGCTGATCTATTTTACTATTGTAGGTCTGGGACCGTGAAAAGGTTGTAATAATTCCAGATCACTATATATTCACAGCTGATGAAAGAGCAAATCGCAATGTGGACATCCTGAGGGATTTCTGTAATGATCAAAATATTAAGTACTTCTATGACATCAAAGATCTTGGGAACTTCAAGGTTAGCTTTATCATCCGATTTGGATGCTAATGTTCCAGTTCTAGTGTGTATTGCTGTCTGCTAGAGATCTTAATCTGTTGTGCTTGCATTACAGGCCAATCCAGATTACAAAGGTGTTTGCCATGTGGCTCTTGCACAAGAAGGTCATTGCAGACCTGGAGAGGTAGGTATTCATTGTTAGAGTTTTGGAAATGCTATTTTCATATTTATTGGGTGATTAGAATTTTGGAAACGGAACTTTCCTTTTCTATTTTTTGTTCTTTGCCTTTTCCTTCTATTTTTTTTTTTTGTTTTTTTAAATTTAGTGATTCTAATTTCTGTTCAGAGTTGTTATGGAATTGTCTATTGCGTGTTGTAGGTCTTGCTGGGTACCGACTCACATACTTGTACAGCAGGAGCATTTGGCCAGTTTTCAACTGGAATAGGAAATACTGATGCAGGCTTTGTGCTTGGTACTGGAAAGCTTTTGCTTAAGGTATATCAGGCTGTTCTTCTTTTATTGCCTTGTTTTCTGAGTGAGTTTTACCCAAGGCATATATCAGATTTGATCAGTATCTACAATTTGCTATTTTTTCCACTCCACGTTAAGCTAATTTATTAAGGTGGTGGATTACTTGAAGAAATTCAAAACCAAATCAAATTTCAGAAAACTTAAATTAATTTGTTATCAGATCTCAACAATGAACTTCTTAATTGAACAATCATGAAGCGGTAAGTCTGTTGTAATGACTTTGTTCAATTCTGAATCTCAAGTTGCATTTTATTTGGTTTTCTTCTTTGCTTGATAGGACGTTTGGGATGTTATTTTTTTTTCTTTTTTTCTTTTTTTCCTCTCTCTACAAGGCTTCCATTCTTATAACATCATGTTTTTGAAATATTTTTTTTGCAGAAAATATGTATTTTTTGTACGAACTTTAGCCTAGATTGATGTGCCAACTGCATCATTTTACATATATGACACTCATGTTTTCCTATACTAATACTAATTCACATATTTCTTACCATAGAACTATATGTTTGTCTATGAAACAAAGTTTTACTTTAAGTTGGAATTCCTTAGGGGAACTTCTACGGATTTAAGTGCTGCTGATGTTTTTAGTTGTTTTCTAGACTTGTGATCTACTTCATGACAGCATATTTCTCTATTTCTTTTTTAAACAAAAACAACACCTGTGAGTCACGAGTGTAATGCCTTCAGAGTTTTTTACATATATTTTGAAAATCTAGCTGCCCTGATTCATTGGAGCTACCAATACTCTTCTGATATGGGTATTTGATTTCGTGGTATAATGTTATGCGTTTAATATATATATATATATATATATATATATATATATAATATATAATATATATATATATATATATTTTTTTTTTTCTTTTTTTCACACATGATCTTATAAGGATTCAAAATCAACGGTTTGCAGGTTCCTCCTACTCTTAGATTTGTTATGGATGGGGAAATGCCTGATTATTTGCTCGCAAAAGATTTGATTTTGCAGGTAAGCGGCAATTTTCACAAACATACACACATTAAATTTGCAGAAAATTAGTTATTGGCTTATTCTTATATGTTGTTAGGACACCTCCATTTTTGTTGAATTTAGTCAATGCATGTTATGTAGATTATTGGTGAAATATCAGTGGCTGGTGCAACATATAAAGCAATGGAGTTTGTTGGCTCCACTGTTGAAAGCTTAACTGTAAGTCGTGAACTTGCCATTATGTTTTTACTTTATATGTTTAACCCAACATCGACTTGCATATGAGTCTTATATTTTTTTTGTATTGTTTATTTTCCAAAGATGGAGGAGAGGATGACATTGTGCAACATGGTTGTTGAAGCTGGCGGTAAAAATGGTGTTGTTCCTGCTGATAGCACCACCTATAAGTATCTCGAGGTTAGTTTGGCGTGCGTTTGTTTAAAGTTCGTTTGTTTTCGATTAGTTACTAGGCTGTTATTGTTTTTAAGTGTAGGTTGAGCACCCTCTCTTTAAGCTAGCTTTTGGGGATGAGTTCTACCCAGGCCCATTTATCACGTTCGAGTTTTTGTTTTAACTTATGGACAATATGTAATTTGTATTGATTTAAGCATAGTACGTGTACAAAGTTTAATAACCTCATATATAGGTGTAGCTAAAGATTTCTGTGTCTTTATAAGGCCTACTTGTAGTTTCACTCACTTTTCTGTATTACTTTTGTATGTATATATAACAAGGTGTTTGTTTTTTCGGTTAGTTTCATTGATAATGATACAACTTTCTTTTGTTGCTTCTTAGGACAAGACATCTTTGACCTATGAGCCAGTTTATAGTGACGGACAAGCTAGGTATGCTGTTTTTACATGCTTATGCAAATTTTAGAAATAAGTATTTTCTTGTGATAGAAGTTGTAATGTCCTCCATACTAGTTTTTCCTTAAATTTGTTGATATTGAAAACAATGTCTCTTGGAGATGAATCGTTCATTTTCTTAAGGGTGTGATTGGTTATAAACATAAACAATAAAAAAACCAATCAAAACTCAAATTGAACTCTAACTTTAACCAACCTCACTATCCTAAATATTAACAATATAATTAAATAATATCAAACAATCATTCTTACACATCACATCAACTTTAATTCACTATTTATCCACTCACATAATTTTAACTAACCATCACTTCAAATCATTTTTCTCCTACTTTTACATCAAAGCAACTTTAATTATTTTATTTTATAATATTTTAATTTAAACTTAAATTCCCACTAACAACTAACCGGACCACCTTTTTCAAAATTGACTTTGTTTAAAAAAACAAAGCCAATCAAATCCATATCCAAGCATGACTTGGAACCCATTTTTTGCCTAACAAGTCTGCAATTTACAAATCCATACACAATTTCTTATTTGATAATGCCATAGATGGTCTTTAATTCCAGTGATGCGATGATCTTTTTTTCCATATCTGTAATTTGTTTTCAAGTTACATTATCTAATCACTCACTGCATGTATTGCACTATATATACACTGATTAATCTTAATTTATGTTTTGCTTCATTTTTTTTCTCTCTTTGTGTGTGTGTGTGTGTGTGAAAGTTTTGTTGTGATGGCAATCTGATCCTTCTGCAAGTTCATCACTTGTTTCAGATATTGTAAGCAATGCTTAATCAATTTCTTCATTTCCACAGATTCCTTGAAGAGTACAGATTTGATATCTCAAAATTGGAACCATTGGTGGCAAAGGTGAGTAGTCTGAGCACCTTTGACCTTAATCAGTTTTTTATTTTTTTTTTTTATTTTATTTTTTTTTCTGAGCAAACTATTAAGAGTCGTTAGATTATCTTTGCATTTGACAGTTTCTTTCTTTATTTTTTTGAATCTCGTATATTTCTGCCAGACAGCTTGTGATTTCGCAGCAATAATTGATTTTTCACCTATATTTCAGCACTTTAGTAAGGATGAGTTTTTGGTTTATTTATTTGCTCAGTATAACGTTCTCTGTGCTTTCTCAGCCTCATTCTCCCGATAATCGTGCTTTAGCCAGAGAATGCAAAGATGTGAAAATCGACAGAGTATATATCGGTTCTTGTACTGGTGGAAAAACAGAAGACTTCATGGCTGCAGCCAAAGTTTTTCTAGCTTCGGTATACAATGCTTCCTTAACCTTTTCTGTTGAAACTTGGCATTAATTTGTTGCCAAAACTCCAGTTTCTTTTCTTAGATGGTTGGACTTTGTTTATGACGACTGCCAAAGCTTTTCTTTGAGCTGAAACATCGTTTTCTTTTATTCACAGGGGAAAAAAGTCAAAGTGCCGACATTCCTTGTTCCTGCAACACAGAAGGTAAGCTTTGATTGGTTAGTGCTTGTCTAGTTTTATTTCCAAGCTGATTTTTCAGTCTCTCATTTTTTCAGTCAAGACTTTGACTTTGTAATGATTTCTCGAGGATGCGAAAGTACTTTTCAATTGAAATTTTTTTACCATGCCAGATTGTATGCTGGTATTATAATATTTATGAACTTTTGAGGATATTTATTGCCAAAACTTGTTACTGGTTGGTACATGTTGAAATATTTATAAGAATAAGAATTTGGTTTGTTATAATAATACTAAGTATGCACGATTTTTCAAAATTGGAAATTGCAGATGCAAGAATTTTGCAGTGAAAAATAGCTAAAAACAATCATGATTTCAGAATTTTGAATAATTTAAGGCTGGAGAATCGCTTCACAAGTGAAATCAGATTCTTCCTTTTTTTTTTTTTTTTTTTTTTTTTTTTTTTCACATACCAAGGTTTAATTAAATTTAAAAATTTCTGTATGTGGTGTAACTTTAACGTGCTTTGACAGGTGTGGATGGACGTATATAGCCTTCCAGTCCCAGGGTCCGGCGGGAAAACATGCTCACAGATATTTGAGGAAGCTGGTTGTGATACTCCTACAAGCCCCAGTTGTGGTGCTTGTTTAGGAGGACCAAAAGACACTTATGCACGGATGAATGAACCTCAGGCAAGTTTTAATCATATTATACATGTTACTATTCGTATCGTGAACATAATTGAAAGGACAAAACTGATGTTTCAAGATTTATAGAGAAAGTGTGTTTGCACATAATTACAAGAGATATTGCTATTTTTTCTCTCGTGGGTTAATCACAAGTGGTACCCTGGAGGTTTCGTCTAACCCCTTGTTACGTTATGAATTGCCTCCCTTTTGAGGATGGACTTTATCAAAGACAAAAACAAATGGCCCAAGGGATATTTGTAAATTTCGTAAAGCTGAATCCGTAAATAGGAGAAATCTCAGGATAGAATATTGATGCCTGTGAGAAACAGAAAGGCGCAAATTTTTACCAAGATTCTTTTATTTACCTTTCTGCATATGCACTGTCAAGTAGTGCTATAATCAAACAAACTGAACCGAGCTTGGGCATTTTGAGCTCAAGTTTGATTATATTCAAACTTTGTTTGACATCATTCATTTACTATTCCAGCCAAGTTCGTTTCCGATGTCCATTTAATTGTTTGTCAAAGTTCAAGTTCGTGTGTGTTCGAATCATTCAGCAAACAAGCGTACAATTGACTAACTTGAGTTTAGTTTGTTCGAAATTGTTCGATCTCGAAAGTTAAATTTTATGCATATAAAATAAGATATATATTTTGCTATTTTGTTTAATTTTCTATTAAAAATGTTACATGTAAATATATAATAAATACATTGAATATTAAATTAAAAACAAACCTAATTAATACGCGAAAGTACTTTTTTCGTGCTTAAACAAGCTATTGGTAGTGCTCAATTTTTTTGAGAGAGCGAGAGGGAGGGAGTGAGGGGGAGAGTTTACATTAAAATAATATTCAAAATAAAATAATTAAAGTTGCTTTAATGTAAAAGTAGGAGAGATGATGTGGAGCGATAGTTAGTTAAAATTATGTGAGTGGATGCATAGTGAATTAAAGTTGATGTAATGTGTAAAAATGATTGATTAATATTATTTAATTATATTGATAACAATGAGGATAGTGGGGTTTGGTTAAAGTTGAGTTAGATTTGATTTAAAATAAGTGATTAGAGAAAAATAATTGATTTTTTTCGAAAAATCTTGTATAGGAGCATGCTCTATAATTTTCTTTTATCTTTTACTTGTTTAGTCATCACGGTATCAGTTCCCATTTCTGTTTCAACTATTATGATTTTAGCATTTTTATTTGTTTCCTTTAAAACATTCTCAGGAGCACCTGGGATTGAAACATTTGTGACACTCGATGTTGTTAAATTGGACATCATCCCTTAGAACTTACACGTCTTTTCATTCTAAAACAGCTAATGACTGCTTGGTTTTGATTGATAATGTTTGCAGGTCTGTGTTTCAACGACTAATAGAAATTTCCCGGGACGTATGGGGCACAAAGAAGGACAGATATATTTAGCTTCTCCTTACACAGCTGCAGCATCCGCACTCACGGGTTTTGTGACTGATCCCAGAGAGTTTTTGCAGTAAGTTCACTAGGTTTTGATCGCTTGAGGCTACTGCTACTACTTGTCGAGTCATCCTGGAGTTGAAGCCACCCTTTGTATTGTGAAGTCAACCAATTTGGATATCATCTGTGTTGTGATAAATTACAAATGCTTTGAACTTGTATCGAACTTACGAAACATAAATTTGGATATTCGAGTCTTGTGTTGTCGTGTTATAATGATGCGTTGATATCAGAATAAAAAGTATTTCCAGCAGACTTGATTATTTGAGCAGCTAAACCCTGCCAAGAAGGTCACCAAGGGGAAAATAACAGAACACCAGCCACAAGAGAACAACAAACCGAAACAACTAACATACACTAACACAGTAACACTTAAAGGAACCTAGGAGGAAGAAGATGTCTTCAACAATAATGTTGACACTCCAACTGAATTGCTTTGGTGGTGAATTTTGTACATGTATTTGAGAGTATTCAGAAAGCAGCTTATAGCTTCGTGTATTCATATAAGTTAGGTTTGATAGGAAAAATCTTTTTACAAAACAAATTGGATCTTATGAGCCAATTTTCATAATAATTCATTCGAATTTTTATTTTGGCTGACTTATGATATAAGATTACCTAATACTTTTTTAACTATTAACCATAAGCTCGAAAGTCACTTATCACTATCAGCTAATTTGTCATTTCACCAATAGCTTCATATCATTTACCCCGAAATGTCTTCGATATATAACCAGTAAAATATATAATCCATATGACACTTAAATTTGATAAACTATCTAACCCGAGAAAATTGTACATTGAAGTAGAAAAATATTTAGTCTCAATCAATTATCTTAGCATATATAATATCTTACCCATCTTCATAACAAACCTAGGAAACAAACCCTAATACAAGATCAGCTGCATTGAATAGAAGCCAATTATTGATGCCAAACTTTTACACTCTGCAAGTCCCAACTTAGTTACCCCTATTACGCAGCCTTCTTTCTTCTTTTGGTTTTTAATTAATTCCACTAGTCTTTTTATAATTCTAGGCATGAAAAACACACCATCACAATATCTATATATTCTCGTCCCCCCAACCTTAATACCATACGTTTTATTCGAATGAGATCAATTGCGCAAGTACCACCTTGTCCAAAATGTATAGTTAAAGAGATTTACGAAGTTCAAAACCGCCAACATCCAATAGAACAAATCAAATCTGTTTTTATTCAAGTTATTATCACTAAACAACCCCTTTCGTGACAATGAGTCGGTGACTATTCACGACCGACACAAGCACTAAGCTCAGATAGAACCCGAACGAGTATGAGCAGCAGGTGATAGCCGTCAAGAATGCTTGCATGCCCCTCAACGACTGCTTGTAGAAAAACTCGATCAAACCGACAACAGTAAACATCTCAGAAATCCCAGATATAACGAATTGAGGCTTTTATGTTTTGTGGCCGGGAGGTGGCTGACTAGCATATGCAGCATTGCATGTGGCGGAAGGTGCCAGACTAGTTTGTGAGTGTGTGCATGTGTGTGCAGAGGGAGCGCGTGAGTTTAGTGTGTGTATGCGTGAAAAAGAAAGATATGAGGATTGATGCTTGGGGTAGGTCACACCGATGAGTTGGAATTATTGATAATGACCAATTTATCCTTAATGAGTGGTCAAATATAATACATATATTTGACCATGATATATGTTTTACTTACGAGATTGACACCCATGATTGACTAATACTCAGGGACGTAGCCTCACTAGGATCAGCGTGGGCCTAGACCCACACTGAAAAAGGAAAAAATGTCCTTAGTATTATTGGTTAAATAAAAAAAAAATACTAATTATGAGCTCAATGAATAAAGCTAAGAGGAAATAGTTATTTACACCCCGCTCTGAAGGCTGAATAAGTTTTTTACACCGCTTGATTATAAGTTAAATTTTTCACCCCAAAAAAGTGCGAAATCATTATGCCGCAATTGTTTGAAAGTTAAAAATGCGATGTCATTCAAATAAACCTTCACACTTTCTAGGGTGAATATACGACTGCTATGCGATAGTTATTCGAACCCTTAGAATAACCTTCACATTTTTTGGGGTAAAAAGTTTGATTGTTACCATGCATGGTAAAAAACTTAATGTATCTTCAGGTCGAGGTGTAAAAGAAATTGTCCCTAATGCTAATATAATAAAACCTTTAACAAAATAATTTAATAAAAGAAAAGAGTAAAGAGATTTACACAGACGAAATGCAAAGAAAAGATGGGAAATAAGGAGAAGAGAAAATATTTAAAATGTTTGTTAATTTTTTATCTAACTGAGAAGGAGACTTGAAAGATAACGAAATCTATTTCTATATATTTTGGTGGAGGTAAAAATTACGATTCTTTATTATTTTAAGTACAAGAATATATATTTTCTTTGTGTAGAAATTACAAATTCAAGCCATTTTTTGTTGTTTAAAGCTCTTTAAAATGTGATATGTCAAAATAAAGAATTCTACTGATTCTATATTTACAATATTATTCTTGAATATCAGATATAGAGAGATATATTCAGTAAAAAGCTCCGTCAACAAAGTAGTTAGTGAAATGTCACAATAGGAAATACATTGAATCAAATAGATTTGAGGGAATTTTTGGTATCACTGGGCAGAAAGAAAGTACGATCGTAAGTTTAATGATGATCGAGAAAATGAAACCTTCTTGAAAATTGGTAATGATGTTATTATATAGCGATATCAATCATGAAAACTCGTAAAGAATGACTATGAAGATATGTTTTTGAATTTGTATTTTTTCGTTATAAGAAGTTATATTTTTCATTTAGGCTCTCGTTCATTAAGTTTTCTAGATCTGTCCCTGCTAATACTTATTCAAATTTGACTTAACAATGATCGTTGTCTGACATTCGTCATATTTACGTGCATTTTATAGTGATTTTCGTGTCTATTTCGTTGTAGTTTAATATTTAATTAATTAATAATTTAATTATTTAATTAATATTATTAAGCTATGACGAAGGTGTTTTATTTTGTGTTTTTATAGAAAATGGGGTCGAGATATTTACAGAAAGCGAAAACGACAATAATCGGATGAAGACGGTGTGCGAGTTGTGTATTGAAATGGCCCATTTACAAGGCTTTATTGGAGAAAAGAAAATCAGCTATCACAGCCCACTACCTAGCAGCCCAATTCATTACACAGCCCACTTAGAACTAAAAGCCACAAAATTGGGGGTAGTTTGGTAATTTGCTGTGAATAAAAAGTCATCTTCTTCAATTTCACGTACAGAACATCGCCCCCCATTGCTGCTCAGGAGGAGCTTAACTACCGCGCCATCTTGCCGCTCCCGACGCGTTCCATGATCGCCGGAGCTCCGACCAAAGAACCAAGCGCCGTTGAAGAGATAATACCGGAGCTGCTGTCACCGGGCAGGTTGAAGAAAATGCCCGGAAAATTTCCGGACCTCGCCATGCCCAGCGACCTGGACGTATTTTCATCACCGGGAGTCGTCTAGATGCCGGAAATTTGACCAGGAGCCACGAACCGAGCTGAGAATGACGATTTGGTGCTGCTTTGAACTCCCAGGTTCACACGGCCGTGTGACGTCGAGACACGACTCGTGTCGCGCAGAACAGATTTGATACGAGCTCTCGGCATTTTCACATGACTCGTGTGTCTTGTGACACGAGTCGTGTGACCCTGGGCGCGACCAATACGCAATTTACGCGTTTTTCCGATTTTTAGGGATTTTTCGACCTATTTCGACTAGGACTAGACCTCAACTATTTAAGTAACACTTGGACACGTTTCTGGGCAGTCTTGAACCTAATTTTCAGATCTTTGGAGAGCTTTGGAGGCTAGAAACACGAGCAAGACGAGGGAGAAAGCCCAGAAAGAAGGGATCGACAGAGCCGAATAAGCTTTTTCTTTCTTTTTCTTTTCGTCTTTCAAACTCAATGTTTTATATTTATTTTGAAAGCATGTTTCTAAGCTAATTTATTTTGGATTCTAGGATTTGTTAGTACTCGGATTGATTTATGATTTAATTTTTATTTATTTCATTCCGGTTTATCTTTCGTTTATGAATTTCTTCTGCGTATTTTTATTGCGTGAGTAGATGACCACTATGAATGCATATTTGTAATTGATTTGAGACCGAGAGGAGATAATTGATTGCTAGAATTGGGAAATTTATAACGTAGGAGACTAAACAGACCGAAAGGTTGATAGAGTCTTGCGAGAGAACGAAAATCTTAGGAACTTATGGGAGTTAGTTGTTCATCTTGAGACCGAGAGAAGATAGATAACAATTAATATCTACGATTTGCTTGTTCGAGAGAAAAGTTGAAATCAATTTAGCGATTATCTCTACGACTGGTAAAATTAAATAAGGTTTGTATGAATATAAATGTTTCATGAATTAATTCCGATGAAAGCAGAACCTAGAATCTATCTTTTATATCTTGATTTATTTTTATTTCTTTAGGTAATTTAGTTTTTAGTTTAATTTCATAGTTTAGAATCATCATCTCGTTCGTTAGTCTAAATAATATTTGATCGTTATTATTTTAGTACTTAATTAATTTAACTACAATCTCTGTGGAATACGACCTTGCTCGCCACTACCTATAGCTACGCCGTACACTTGCGGATAGCAAAAATAAATAGCGAACAAGTCTTGATTGATCTAATTCACTATTGCTTTTTTTTTCTTTTGTCGTATGATCTCAATTAGTTAATACCGTAGGGAAATACTACGGTCTCGTTACGGAACATTCCATCGGGGTTCGTAACCGTTATACCATCATGTAACCGTCGGGGATAATTGATCTAACGGTTACAAACTCCGACGGAATGATTTTATAACGAGACCGTAGCATCTCCTAATATCGTAAGGCATGGTGTTCAGCTTGCTAATTAATACAATTCTAAATTCAAATGTCCGGAGTGTTATAAATATATTAATATGGACATTACTAATATATAATTGAGCTTGAAGTCCATCAGTTAGTAGGATTAAGTTTTAGGGTTTCTCTATTGTAAACTCTATAAAAGAGTGAATACCGATGAATAAAATTATATACTTTTCTGCTTCTCTTTTATCGTTCTCTTTACTGCACATCTTATGCTTGGATTGATGGATGCTTGTTGAAGATTAAGAGTTCCAATTTACAACACGTTATCAGCACGCTCTAGTTCGTTATTGGTGTTGCCCTAGGAAAAAATCGTGTTTTTCCTGCAAGTGTACCACCACCATTCATTAGTTTGCATTATATGGAGAAAGAGGGCGTTTTATGTCTGGTCGACAGTGCTACTACGCACACTATTTTGAAAGATAGGAAATTTTTTCAAACTTTAAATGAAAAGAAAGGGAGTGTTTCTACAATTGCTCATGATAAAATCTTGATAGTAGGCTCCGGCAGAGCTTTACTTACTCTTCCTAAGGGTACCGAATTAATTATTAACAATGCGCTTTTGTACCCTGAATCATAAAGAACACTCCTTAGTTTTAAAGATATTCGATCTAATGGTTTTCATATTGAAACTAAGACTGAAAACAATATAGAGTATCTTCTAATGACTCATTCACAAGGAAGTCAAAAGAAAATTGTCGAAGAACTTCCTTCTTTCTCCTCAGGCTTGTACCATACTTACATTCGACCTGTGGTTAATCATGTTGCATTGAGCTTAAAATTTAAAGACCCAAATTCATTTAAATTATGACATGAGCGATTGGGTCATCCTGGGCTTAGTATGATGCGTCGGATTATTTCTAACTCTATTGGGCATAGCTTATCAAGCAACAATCTCCCTTCCTTTAATGAATTTATTTGTGATGCTTGTGCAAAGGGAAAATTAATATTGAAACCTTCACGTACTAAAGTTGGAATTGAATCTTTTTCGTTCCTTCA